TCTGAACACACGCTTCTTTTTCCTCTCTGTATTTTCATTCAGGCTCTCGGTGTGGCTCACATGGAGATGTATCCTCACTGAGCCATGTCTTATGGTTATAATTTTTTACTTCTGAAGCAATGCATAATGGTTTCTTCTGTTTGAAATGTTTCTCAAATGTCCAGGCCTGAGAATCTGTTGTTTGTGATGCATCCAAACAAAAAGTCTCCCAGCTGGGCGGAGGAGGCTGGGTGGAGGCAGGCAGCCATGTCTTGAAGCTGCCTACTGATGCCCAGGAATGGATCAAGGGCATGTCTTCCCATCTCCTCTTTAGTGAGGTCACTCTTATAGAATGAGATTTCATTTCTATACCTACCAGAATTGTTTGCTAAAAATATAGGGAGGACTGTCCTTCAAAAAGTTTACTATCTATACTGATCTCCATTTAAAAAATAACCCTCTCAACAAGTACACCAAGAACAGCATTGTGTTCTTTTTTTAATTACATTTATTTTTATTGTCTTTAAATACATATACAGAGGAGTTTCAACATGTCCTTTTCTGAGGACAATGTGTCGTGATCAGGGTCACCTCTTCCATTTTTCTCCTCATCTCTCCCAACCCCACCCATCCCTCAAGTTCCAGAATCTTCTCATATGTGCATCGAGAATTATGTGCCTACCTTTTCTCCCCCAAACTGTTCATTGTTATAATAGAATCTCAAAACTTTCAGGGGCTTTTGACAGTGGAAATTATATTCTCAGATCAATTTAAGGCAAGGGCTGATGGGTGGCAGGGACTCTTCAAGGCAGGAAGGAAGAGGCCAGGGGTCCAGCCATGTGGCTATGATGGCACCATGCTGAAAGGCACAGAACTGGAGGAAGATGAGAGAACATGGCAGAAGATGTGTGAGTTATGAACCAGGTCCTGAACTCTGAAAAACAGCATTTATAAATGTGCTTAGGGAGAGGAAAATCTGGTTTTGCAAAAGCGTGTCACTCTCTGCCACAACCAACACAAGCTCCATCTTGCTGTGTGCGTTTGTATGACTCCCTTGCCTGTGTGCTGGGGTGAGGATCTGCTCTCATACGAAGGAGTTGCTAGCTCACATGTGGTTTTGTGCAGGGCAGAGCTGGCAAAGTGGAGACTCCAGCTTCATAAGGAAAAGAAAGGGCCTTCCCCCAACTCTTAGCAAGGAGTCATGCATTCAGAGCACAGCCTGTACCAAGTTCGTGGACCCAGTGGGGTAAAGCTGAGGCGCACAGTGTAGCCTCGTGTCACAGCCCACCTGCTCTGTAACATGAACACAGGTGTGAATTACACTCATTCACACTGCCTCACCTTAGCAGTTCCTCAGGCTTTAAGTAAGCTGGGTCACATTGCTGTTTCCCATGGTGCATTGCTTTCAGGTTAGCAGACGCACACACACACACACACACACACACACACACACACACACTCAGCGCTGTTTACCCATGTAATTACATAAAACAATGTGTCACCATGTTAGATATATATTATTTTTACTAAAAAAGAAACCTTATAGATGATCCCAAGGTGATGTAATATTATTTAATAATGGAATGCACTAAAAAATAATGTCTTATACAAATACGAATTTCAAGCTTTAACAACCATGGCTTTTGGTTTTCCCAAATCGTAAGAGTAAATAAGGAATTGAAGAATAAGCTTTGGTGTTCTGTTCTAACAGACTGAGGGATTGTTCCATGGTTCCTGGCTTGTCATCATAGAGTCCTGAACACTGAATGAACAGTGTTTCCAGGAGATTCTTCCTAGGCTCTGAGATCTGGAGAATCCTGGCATTTATTAGATTATCCTCTGCTGCCATTGGCAGCGACTGGCACTCTGACACGGCTTTACCTCTTCCTGGTTTTGCAGTAGCCCTTGACACTGGCCTTGGGCACTGCATGACAAGTCAGGACAATCACACAAGCTGAGGCTTTGAGACTGTTAAAGTCAAGACGTCAGATGTGAGGCAGTTTCCTAAGCAGACCTGCGAGTAGAAGACATTCTCTGCAGAGTGCTACTGAGCACTCTCAGACAACCCTTCCCCTCCCATCCTGATCAACATGCTTATCACAGCAGTGCACCTGTAAGTCATTTGTCAGGATTTCAGAACCACCACCATCTACCATGTTGAGGTCTCTGGAAAGAGGAGATCCTATATATGAATAGTTGGTACTCCCAGCATCGCTGTTATGAATGCTCCTAAGTGCAAATAAGCAATGAAAATACAAGCCCAACATTGCTCATTCTCTCACTAATCATCTATTGCATAAATCAATGGCATTTTGAGTGCCATATGACTTGGGTGCTTAGGGAATCGCTGTGTATTGTCCTTTTTATTCTTGAGTTTATACAGAGCATTTTTTACTTTGACATGCAGATGTCCCTTCAGTCTTAGACAAGATGTAGCTTCTCTCAAGGAAGTTTTCTTCATGTGCAAACCAGAGATCATATTAATGCAACTGATGTTTGTGGTTAATCAAATATTTGCAAAGTAGAAAGAGAGATTTGTTCCATGAGAAATTACGGAGTTGAACCTAGGATGGAATGCTGTCAGGTTTGGCAAAGAATACATCACAATTTGAACATATACAGTTATGTGAACTTGTTGGGGCTTACCTCATAAGTACTTTTAAAAAGTATATATTGCTGAGTGTGATGGCACATACTTGTAATCCCAGTAATTGAGATGCTGAGGAAAGAGAATTATATATTTGAAGCCAGGCTGAGCAACATAGTGAGGTCCAGGACAGCTTGGGTAACAGGAAGAAACTCTGTCTAAAAAATAAAGTGAGTGGAACAGGCTCACAGAAAGCCCATGGACTGGTAGAAGATCTTCACTAGCCATACAATGGACAAGGGTCTCATATCTAAAATATACTTAGAACTCAAAAAACTAAATCCCCCAACAACAAATCCTCAAAGAAACAACTGCCTGATTACCAAATGGGCTAAAGACTTAAAGAGAGACTTCTCTGAAGAGGAAATAAGAATGGCCAATAGACACACAAAGAAATGCTCAACCTCTCTAGCCATAAAAGAAATGAAAATCAAGACAACATTGAGATCCCACCTCACCCCAGCTAGAATGGCTATAATCAAGAAATCTAATAACAACAAATGATGGAGGGAATGTGGCCAAAAAGGAACCTACTGAATTGTTGGTGGGAGTGTAAACTTGTTCAACCACTTAGGAAAACAGTATGGAAGTTCCTCAAAAGACTCCACATAGAGTTCCCCTATGATCCAGCAATCCCACTTTTGAACATTTACAGAAAGGATCATAAACAGGAATATACCAAAGCTATCAGCACAACCATGTTTATCGCAGCATTATTTACCATAGCTAAGATACACCCCTCACTAGATGAATGGATCAAGATATATATATATATATATATATATATATATATATATATATATATATATATATATGGAATTCTATACCTCTGTCAGAAAAAAATGACATTACCTCTTTGGTTAGGAAATGGAAAGACCTGGAAAAAATCATATTAAGTGAAGTAAGCCAGGCCCAAAGAAACAAAGGTCCCATGGTTTCCCTTGTTTGCAGTGACTAGTACATGTCTAGAACAAGCAGAGTAGATCAAAGGCTATGTAATACGACCTATGAGGTAATGTTAAGCAAAATGTACCCCAAGACAGGGACACAAGAGGTTTTTTTATTCTCTTTCGTGCTAGTGTTTTTAATGTACTTACAATACACTATGTTTTCTTTTGTTTCTATTGTATGTTCTTCCCCCATGCTATAACCCCTGTTTTTACTGGATTTGATGCTAGTGCCCTGCACTTTGTATATACATTTTTGTAATTTGGAGAGGGGAAGGGATATTGCAGAAATAAGGATGCAGGCTGACCCATTGTGATGACAAGATGTACAGGATACTATATTGAAAACAAACTTTACAATGTAGGGGGGGTGGGAGGAGTTGAGGAGGTGGGGAGGGAAATGATGGTAGGGAGAAAATAAAGGAGGTGGTAACAATGCTTGCTATGAAATGTACTCATTACCCTACTCATGTAACTAACCCCTCTGTACACATTTTTACAATAAAAATTAATAATAAATTTTTAAAAAAATAAAGTGAATTTCCCTTAGTTAGAAAGGATGTGTGAACCTGTATTTTTGAACCAGATTCTAAACCTTCCATTTCTTTACATTAATTTTCTGCCCATAGTAACATTTCAATGTAGTGGTAAATGCAAGTATTTATAAACATCTTATGGATATTTTGGGTACTATTATGGGAAATACTATCTTGAAAGTTAGTGGAAAACTCACACTTCAGAATGGATCATTCAGCTAGTTAATTGCTATGTTAACATAACACACTAAATTAAACAGCAGCCACAATTATATCACTAAGTTTGAAAGACCTAAAGAAAAATCTGTGTCATGTCCAACTTTATATGTAACCCTCCATAGTTACTTCATGAGAAATAAATGTCTTGCAATCACAAGGAAAAGGGTTGGGCAATGAATTGGTAAATGGCTACCAAGTGGTAAGAATAATTGATAGTATGTGTACGTTCCCTTCCAGAACCCTCCGCTGTACCAGAACAATTTGTGTTCTGAAAGACCTGGAATGACTTTCTGCCCAAATTTAACCTGCAAAGTTTATTTCTCTTTGTTCCGTTGCATGGGGGACTAAGTAGGGTTGTTAGACATTTGGGCCTTTGGTGTAGAACTAGAAAAAGGATCAACTAGTGTTGGTGATGGTGTGCACACCTGTCTGTGTCTAATTCTACCTTCTGTGTTGTTGCTGTGACATCTCAAGCAGCAAGTGGCCTCTGTGTGTGCACACACTGTGCACAAGAGACTCTGTCCTTGTATATGGAGCACAGAGCATGGGCTGGGTGGGCTGCAGCTCATGCAGTGGGCTGTGGGCTGGCTGGTGACAATGCCGGTCTAGTGATGTTCCCGTGTCCCCCTGTCAGGTTGCTTCCAGCTATGTAACGTTTTCCGGTCCCATGACATGGAAATTGACCAGTGTTTGCTGGAGTCCTTGCCCCTGGGCCAGCGGCAGCGTCTGGTGAAGCGCATGCGCGGCGAGCAAATCAAGGCCTACTATGAGCGCGAGAAGGCCTTGCAGAAGCAGGAAGGCCTGCTGAGGAGACCGAGGCACGGGCGGACCCAGAAAGTCCACTTTGGCCTGGCCGATGTGATTCAGGATGCCATCATCCACCACAACGACAAGGAAGGTATGGATGCCTTCTCACGGCCGATTTTCAGTTGCTCTTTTTATTTGGGGGTGGGAGGAAGATGGGAGGTGAAAAATCCCATTTTAAATATTGAAAACTGCTGGCTTTGAGTTCTCAGAAATGTTCCCGGGGTGGGGGTTTGGGGTAATATGTAAAGTCCAATGGTTAAATGTCTCAAGAATCCTGGTAAAGATGAAAGAATGTCAAATGTTAGCTAAATGGTTATGTTTTGCTTTTTAAGAATCACCTATCTGGACATGGTAGCTATAATCCCAGCTAATTCCAAGCCAGGCACAAAGGTAGCAAAAGCCCATCTGAACTGATAAGCTGAGCACAGCAGTGCTTGACTGTCATCCAAGCTAGGTAACAGGTTCAAGTGGGCTGGTCCTGGTGCAGACTGGCCTAGGGCAAAAACTCAAAACTGTCTCAGCACAACAGTATAGGACAAGGGCCATGGCTCATGTGGTAGAGCACCTGCCTGGTCTCAGTTCAAACCCCAGTTCCACCAGGCAACCTATGCAGAAGAAAGAAATTTCCTTTCAAATTATTAATTCAGATTGATCATGAATTTTTTTTTTTTGGTCGGTTGTAGGGCTTGAACTCTGGGCCTGGGTGCTGTCCCTCAGCTCTTCAGCTCAAGGCTAGAGCTCTACCACTTGGACCACAGCACCACTTCCAGTTTTCTGGTGGTTTATTGGAGATAAGCGACTGAGGAACTTTCCTGTGTGGGCTGGATTTGAACCACGATCCTCAGATCTTAGCTTCCTGAGTAGCTAGGATTACAGGCATGAGCCATTGGCACCCAGCTGTTCATGAAAATTTTTAATCAATGAAGTTTTTCCTGTGACAATGATATTGGCTGCAACATTCATTAGTTTTTGTTTCGCACGTGGATACAATTGGTAGTTGTCTCAGAATTCTCAGCATATAAAAGTCAATTTATGCAAAAAAAAATCGATTCTTCTGTGCTCAGGTCATGTTTGCCCTCTGTTTATTTCTAGTAGTTTAATGGTTTCAGGTATTGTATTTCAGTCTTTGGTCAGTTTTGAGCTGGTTTTTCTTACAACATAGGGAGAAAAAATGGGATACATTTCTTTATTCACTATGAATAGTCAGCATCTTGGTATCATGAATTGAACAATCTATTCTTTCTGTCATGTGAGGTTATGAAGTTATTGCTGAAAATCATTTGGAGAGAGATGCATGGTCTTTGTTTTTTTCTGGAGTTCCTGTCTGCCTAGTTTTACGCCAACAAATGTGGTTTTAGTGACTGCACTTTGGTAGTATGCTTTGAAATCAGGTATGGCGATGTCTCCTATTTTGTTCATTTTGATAAAGACTGTGCTCGTTTTGCTTCTCTGTGAAATCTGACTGGATTACTGTATCATGCTTTTCTAAGCAACCTGACCCACACCTCCCTGGCCTATGAAAGACTCAGATCCTTAAGACAGCTGCAGAGGAAAGAGAAGCTGAGAGAGTTTCCTGTGTGTGTGGCTTGCTGAAAGGAAAAACTATGATGGCACTGGAGTCAGAGGACAGCGGAGGGAGCAGGGCCTTGTGCCTACACAGCACAGGAGATCCGGTGCCCGTGTGGAGAGCTGAGCATTGCTGGAATGATCTGTACTGGAGGTCCTCCATCCTGGGCAATCAGGAAGAATATGTTTTTAATTCCAATTTCTGGGAATTACTTAAAGAGATGCTAAGCTGAAGTTGAGACAGGCAGTTTTTGGAGATGTCTGTATGCAGTGGTGCATACATGGGACTGTACATGCATATGAGAGATAGCAGCCTGTGGTAATGATTACTACAGCTCTCACCTGCCAGGAATCACAGCTGTCAGTCAAGAGTGAATGTGGAGGGGAGAAGCGGCAGGTGGGGAGAGAGGAGAGCGCATAGGAATGCATGAATAGGGCAGAGGCTAGTATAGCCTTAAAGAACTTGTCTAGCCCGTGAAAGGCCATAAAGTTGAAAATGAACTATTAAGCAAAATAAAATTTATAAGAAAACCTAGATGCACAATGTGAAAACAAATCAGAAGGATCAGATATGACTCAAAATTTTCTGAAATGGTTTGGTATGGCTTTTCTGCTCTTTTTGCTTATTCTTGACTCTTTGATTTTCCAACCTAAGTATTACATGTTTTAGAATCTAAGTTTATGGTAAATTTCCTCTCCAAGAAATTATTCCGCATGTACATTTGAATACAAATTTGGTAAAATGAAATACAAACTTCTCAATAGGCAGTCAGTATTTCTTGCCTAATTACAATCCTTTGGTAACCACACACACCTGGTGAAGAACTTAGGAATGCACATTTTAAGTGTAATAAATGAAAGAGCACATTATCTATAGCAGATTGTTTATATGTGGGTGTTGATATAAGGATACGAGGTTTAAAACAAACAATTGGATATGACTTTGAATCTGAAAGAAGGAAATAATAATTTTGATTCAAACAATCTCTGACTAGCTATAGACTAGGTGTCCTTGAAGAAGCCTAGTTTTGCCTTTTGTGGGTTTTGCCCCTTGCATTATATACAGAAGACAGAGTGTACCCGGGAAAAATTTCATTTAATCATGGGCAGTGATATTTTTGTTTATCATTGAGCTACCAAAGCAGTCAAACAACCTGTTTATGTACTTGAGAAAATAAATAGCACTGCCAGGAAAAAAAACCCTTTCTATTTGTTCTTTCAACATTGAACATTATGGTTTGCATGAATAATTTTCCTTTACGGTTTAGTTCCTAGCACTTTTTATATTGCCTGACTATGAATACAGAATCAAATATACTTTTCATGTCTGTGATGGTATTTATGCTAACATTTATAAAACGTCATTTAAAGGTAATTCAGATTGTCATGTGTTTTGTTTTTTAACTTTAAAAGTACTGCACTTGTTTAAGTGTGAATTTAATGTCTTTGGTGCTTTATTATTGTCTTCCAAGAGTTGGTAATATTTTCGCCTCAGTTTGTCATTTTAATGTATGATACCACTCTAGAATGTGTTCAGTAACTCTTTTCTCTCTAAAAGGAAAATCAGTTCTCGATTTTAGAGTTGTTAGTTCAAGTCCCAGTTGTTTCAAGAGGCAGAGATAGGGGAACAGGGTGAGGAGACAGATAAAGAGACAAAGAAGAAGCATGTAGAGAAAATTCACATGGGAAGATAAATTCTTTACTAGAGCATCTATTCTCTCATACCCAACAGATTTTAGTGATGGGCCCACCAATGACGTGTTTTTGCAGAAATAATTGCTGGTGTTTTCCTCGGACATTGTGGCTATCTTCAGCGTATGCTCTGCCCATGTGACTTTAGTTACTGTTTCTAGAAGCCACATGTGGGTGGACAGAGGAATTGAGTCTAAGAAGGAATTGCTGCCCCAGGGCGATTGGATTGAGTCAGTTTTTGTACTCAGATGACTGTCAAGCTGATCTGCAGTATCATCAGTGAAGCATTGTACCTCACAGCTGAAATACCTTCTTGAGCAGCTGGCCAAAGCCTCCTTCCTGTCCTGTTACCTTTCCCCTTCTAACCTGCCAGGTTCAACGATGACCATCTTTCTCCATCTTCTCACCAAACCCTCATTTTCTCCTTGGTTTTCAGTTAGTTAATATCACTTCTGGTCAACTTAGACTAGAAATACTGAAGTCATTTTAATCTGAAAGGGTTTGAAGGCTCTGACCTTCTTTGAACATTTTTGCAGGAACTAGCAACTATTTGTAGATCCTCTATTACCTTCCAAAAACTACCCAGGATATGTAGCCATTCACAATATATTGGATGAACTAATTATTCATAAGCCTGTTGCTGAGCTTCCTTATTGAGAAGCTTTAAATGTAAATCTTCAGGGCTTACCATTTGGTTACTACATGACTTTGGTTTCTGGTAGTGGAGCAGCATGTGTGGAGTCGGAGGCAGCATGGTGATGGAGTAGGGGCAGGTGGAGATGGCAGACATGAGATCTCTGACATGTATTACAAGAAGCAGCTCACTACGGCCATCTCTAGGAAGATGGGCTGCTAGGCTGGTGCTATTTGCATAGTGTGGTGATGGTTCAAGCTAAATGAAGCTTCTTCCTCTCTTCTCGACCTTCTTGTAAATGATGCACCAGTTGTCAGTTGAAGGATGACATGGGTAAGTGGATTGAAGCTGGCCCTGACAGAAATTGACAGCTGGGCAGTGCTACTTCCTCCGGTCCACTGAGAAGGTCGCCATTTGGAGGCACCTGTGAGTGTCTAGGAGAGTAATTGTGATGTATGCAAAGTGTGCTGCAAGAATAAGTAGTTCTAACGCTCAGAAATAAGAGTGTGTGTCTGACCTGGAATAAATGTAGACTTTTCCCAAAGAGTTGGACTTGCTAACAGCATCTCCTACATTAGATACTTTGAGTTTTGAAGCAAGTGTAAAGCACCAGTCTCTCTTTGAGGAGGAGGCAAAGGGAAAGAACAACTCCCAGTCAAAAGAAATCTCCACAGCTGCTGTCTAGGGAGGGCAGACCACTCAGGCACAGCTTGGGTGGAGAGGGCCTTTGCCCCAACACCACCCCATCTTGCTAACTGACTAGGTATGCGCCTCAGGGAACACAGCAACACCTGTGTGCCCAGGCTTTTCCTCTAGCATGGCCCAGGAAGAGGGAGCTGGGGAAGAGATCTGCCAAGACCACCACAAAGAAGGCAAAGGATGACTTCCAAATGGTAGAGGCCCTGGAGAACTTTCATTTTGTAAAATTCAGAGCTGAATATCCAAATATGAACACTCACGGCTGTGCTGAATGCAGGCATTCTGGGAGGGATCTCATAGACTGTCCATTGGACGATGATGCTCCCATGAATAGGCAGCAGCTGCTGCATAATTGAAGCGACCCAACCATACAATGCAAGATCATGAAACGTTTGGAAATTAAGTCCATTTAAATTTGGAACAAATCTAGGTGAAGTCAATGCATGGATTAATATTTCACCACCGCCATGTTCACATTCCTGAGAAATACTTATCATTTC